ACGGCCAAGGTTAATGACATTAAGAAGCGGGTCCGGAGGGTTCAGCGTTGGTAGAGACGGCCTCAGAGGACAAGCGTTGTTAAAAAGCGGCAGAGGTTCACTGTAATAACCCGGCCAGGAGGTTCACGCTTGGAAAAGCGGACACTAGAAGAGTTCACTTAAAACCGGCCAGAGTTCACTTATAAACGGACAGAGGTTCACTTGAAAATGGAGAGGTGTTCGAGCTGTACAACAGGCAGTGAGGTGTCGACCGTGAGAAACGGCCATGAACGGTTCACTTTAACGGCCTAGAGGGTGACATTAAAGACGGGGCCAGAGGTTCACTTAAAACGGACGCAGAGGTTCACTTAAACCAGACCTAGTAGGGTGTCACGATGGGTTTAAAACGACCAGAGCTGTTCACGTGTATAAACGGCCAGAAGGTTCACTTAAAACGGCCGGTAAGGTTCATTAAAATACGGCCAGAGATTTCACTAAAACGGCCAGAGGTTTCGACTTTAAACGGCAAGAGGTTCAGAAGCGATTAGAATGACTGGCCAAGAGGTTCACTGAAGCGCGGTTCAACAGTTTCTGGAGTCACGCAGGTCTACGAGAAACACGACAAAGAGGTGTCCAGACGCTATAAGAAATGGTGAAACGAGCCAGACAGGGTCACCACATTGTTGACAACACTGCGACCGAGCAAAGTATATGTGATACATGCTCATTACACACATCACGAAGCCGAAAGCACTGAGGTATTGATAGTTCGGAGTTGTAAAGGGTGTGAACGGTGATACAAGGTTACAACGTTAAAGAGCGGCCTCAAGGAAGTGATTATCAGTGACTATTTGTTAAACAAACACACAGATCTGCGTTTACTGGTGATAAAAGCAACCAGGATGAGCGTTTCATCTTAAACCCCGGAGGACACTCAGGCCACTCGATAAGAGAAAACGAAAATCCAGAGGGTTTTCACTCTGTCGCACAGACGCACCGAGAGGTATTCAGCATGTATAAATACACAGCGCGAGAGGGATGGATTCACATAATGAGGGACTGATAGATTCAGTCACTTTAATAACAGCAGCGATGCGTTTAACTCTACTCGCATAAGAAAACGGCAGCCAGAGGTTCGAGTACAACAGGCCAGAGAGGTTCAGCTTGTCTGAACGCGTACAGGATATGTATCCTTGAGCGGGATGGATACATAAGAGTAAAGCGAGTTATAGACTTTCAGTCTACTGACGAGCGCGGGAGATTCAAAGTTTGAGGCACACGAGACATGAATTTACACTTGTCTGTAGCCTGTCTTATTTTATGTTTGTTCTGTTAATTTGCGTTTCTTTAATATTGAGAGAAGGAACTGGTAGAGAGGTAGAGTGAGTATATAGGGCTAGATGTAGTATCGTTGATAGAATAAGTATGAACAGGAGGATATGTTATCCAGATCGATAGTGCTCGCTCTAGGTATACATAATTGTTTATATAGATATGACCAATTATAATATTGCTGACAGTTATAGTTAGAGCAGGTACGGGTTAGAGATATTGAGATAGGAATACACACACACTATATATGGAAGGAAGAGGATAAATAGGATAAAACGATAAGGTATGAGATTTGAGATATACAAAGATCGAATAATGTATATGATTAAATTATACACGATAGGAATAAGTTATATAAAAAAGAAATGTTAAGTAGAACAAAAATTTACTTATCCAGATAAAGAGTTTTAATAGACGTGCAGCAACAGATGAGAATGACATTTTTTAAAAAAAACTTTATCGAAACGAAGTTTATGAGGAAAGAAGTTGAATGATGAGGCTCGACACAGGTTGATCTAGATGGGGGCAGAATTGTGTCACGCGGGAGGGAAGAGAGGACGCAGAAGAGTAGGAAGGGTGAGGTATGAGGTATTGAGTATGTGAGAAGAGAGAGAGAAGAAGAGTATGTAGTATAGAGAGAGAGAGAGACGAAGAGAAGACGAGGATGAAGATAGAGATAGGAGTATAAGCACGAAGAGAGGGACGGGACTCAACTGAATTAGGCGAGAGGAGAGAGAGAGAGAGATGACACACTTTTTTAAGAGGGAGTATGATAGAGAGAGAAGCAGAAATATAGAGTAAGAGAGCAGACCAGGACAGACACTCCACTCACACGCCAGAAAACATGAACAGGAATCACTGAGCGCTTGACAGCACGGATTTGTCGAGCGTATTGAGGTATGTATAAGTGGCCCCAGCGAGCCACGCCCAATGGTTGACAGCGGCGAGTCGATCGCGTATGAGTCGAGCCCTTCCCCCCCCCCACACAATACAAAAAAACTTTTTTATATTTTTCAATCCTCAAATATACATAGCCATACACCCGGGCAATCCCCCCGGGTCGGGAAGGATCGCGGGCACATCCAAAACGGCTTACCTATTTTCCTTCTTACGGGGGATCACAAAAAAAAAAAACGTATTTTATATGTCGAAGGTCTCAAATGTTCCTGGTGAGACCGAAACCGTGGAG